CATGGGGCTCCCCTCTGGGGCCTGGGCCGGTTCCAGGAGGACTGGCCCCTCGCCCCCCATGTGGGGCTGGGCACCGGCCGGTCTGGAAGAAGCAAGTCTGGGCTCCTGGCTGTGGGCCGCTGGCAGCATCGCTTCCTGCTTGCGCGTCATCTGTCTGGAATTCCGGTGGAAAAATGTGCCCTGGCACTGGGGCTCTTGGATTCCTGGTTTGGTGGTTTGTGGGTGTCGGAGGCCCAGGCTGGACTCTGGCCACCCCTGCCTCCCCCTACACGGGGATGAGGGCTCCCAGCTTCTGCTAGCTGTGCTCCCCTCCCTTCTCATGCCTGGTGGGGGTTGGGGGACGGTGGCCCCACAGCTGGGGGTGCTCTTTGGGTGCTCTCTCCAGGGGACAAAGGAGCCCCCGGGTCCTGTCTCCCAAGGCCGGCTCTTTACCTGACGCAGATCAGGAACACCTGTCAGCTGGGTGTGCACAGGTGTTGAATCCCGTGAGTTCAGGCCTCTGAGAGCCGCTCAGGATGCCCTCCCAGACAGGGCCACACGCGGCAGCCCATGAGCACTGTCACTCCCCCTCCCCCACCCCCACGAGGGTCCGTTAGCTGAGCATGGTCTCCAACAGCAGAGAGCTGCCAGGGCAGGTGAACAGTGGTGCCTGCTGGTTTAGGTGCAGCTCGCTTCCCAAAGAATGAGTTCCTGGAAAGATGAGGAACACAGGGAGGCACTTTGAAGTGTGACTTTCTTGTTGATAAAGAACCTCCAAAGTGCAGCAGCCCTGGGCGTGCCTCCCGGTGACACGGACTCCGTGGGTGACGCTCCCTGGGCCAGGCTGGCTCTTCCTGCCCTTCCCACTGGGACCCTTGGGAGGTGGCATGGTGGGACTCCCGCAGGCCGGCCTCTGGGGGCCGGGAGCGCCTGAAAAAGCCCCACCAGGCCCTGTGGCCCGGCCACGGAGGTGATCGGCAGCCAGTCCCTGCCAAACCGAGCCGTCTGGAGACCGAGGGGCAGGAATGTGCCTGTGCCTGGTAAGCCCATCATCCCCACTGGGCTCTGGAGCCCGGACGCCTGCCCGCCACCTCCTGGGAAGCGAAAACTCTGCTTGGCTGTGAAATCTCCCAGCTTCTGGTTTCTTCCCCAGCTCCCACCAGCCCCCTCCACTGCCTCCTGGAAGACAGAAGACAATGAAATAAGGAAGGGCAGCAGGTCCCCAGTCAAGGAACATAGTTCATTCATTTATTCATTCCTCACTGGAGGGTGCCGGACCCTCCACTGTCCTGTTCGCAGGGGCCCACAGCCTGCCTGGGATACTGTCCCCTCCCCGTATTTGCTCCAGGAGCTGAGTGGGGCCCGGGGCGGGGGGCCTGGGGAGGGATGCCGGGGGATGAGACAGGGCAGGGAAGAGCCCTGAGGCCTGGCATTCGACCTCGCTCCTAATGAGCACCCCATCCCAGCCAGTCATTGTTCCGGGGGGGGGGGCGTGAGCCCCCACCTACAAGGTCCTCTCCCGCCCCGGCCCCCCCTTAACCCAGGTTCAAGCCAGCCCCACAGACCAAAGTCCAAATTCATGAAACATTCAATCTGCGGGCAGACGTGCTTCACAGAGATTCTAGTACCTTCCCCACATGCAACCAAAAAACAGTCAGTCCCGGTGGGGCACAGACACAGGACCACTGGTAGCTGCTGGTGATGCACCGCCCAGCAATCGTGTGTCTGGGAGTTTCTCAGGGAGACGGAAGCAGCATGGTCTGTCGTGGCCCGAGACTGGATGCACGGGCCCACCCGAGGTAACAGGTGGCCGTCCCTCCATCACAGTGCTCCTCAGCGGCAGAAAGTAGCGATGACCACGGCATGGAGGCCCGGGCCAGCTGACGGATCTCCTCTGTGAGAAGTCCCAGAAGCAGCGAAACCTGTGAAAACGAGGGCGAGGACATGGCTTCTGGGGCCCACGGCAGGAGGGTCTGCACTCTGGGGCGGCCGGGCCCCATCGGGACAGGGGTGGGGCAGCTCGGCTGCCAGGTCCCTGTCCTGGGTCATGGGATAACACTGTTGGTTTTCTCAAACATCTGTGCCAAGCTTTTACGAAAATGGGCGCACATGTGCTCACACACCCACACGCACGCTCCCGTTTGTTTGAGGGAAGACCTGGGATTACATTAGACGGTCTCACCCTCTGTTCTCCCCGCCATTCTGCCTTTGGTCTACTCAGTGATGTCACTGCTATTCTCCGAGACCACAACCTTCTCACCTCAATGCCATGTCATCTCTACTTAAAACCGTGGTACATTCCGTGGGGTCTTTGACTTTCAGCAACACTGAAATGAGCATCTTTATCTACATCTGGCTTTTGGATTTCGGATAAAATCCTGAAAGTGGGGTTATCAGAGCGTGAGTTACAAACGCCTACCTGCCTCTTGATGAGTCATGCCACTTTGTGCTTGAGGATATCATTTCTGCTTGACCCTTAAATGTATTTTTCTGCATCAGAATTTTAAATGACCTATGTAGTTGAATCCATCTGTCTTTTCCTTGGGTTCTGGGTCTACGTCTTGCTTACAAAAGCCTTGCCATTCCTGACTCTAGAAATATATTCACATTATTTTTCTCTTCATTTTTAGATGCTTTTATGATTCACATTTGCAC